TAATAACCTTAGCGACACATCCCCGAGAGCCTAGCTACGATGTTTTGTAACGGCTGTCAGACTGGGGTAACCTTACACAATTCCAGTACGAGGCCTACGCTACGAGTATACGAACGCGGTGAAATTTAACTGTTCAAGTGTATACGTGTATACCGTACACCAATTCCACTAGCCTTAGCTACGATGTAACGGGCTGCAGTTACTGTACCTTACACCAATCCACGAGCGTAAGCTACATGTCCGACTGTCGTACTGTACCTTACAGCAATCCACGAGCCTACTCGAATGTAATGACTGTCGTTACTGTAACTTACACAATCCCGAGCTAGCTACGATTTAACGACTGTCATTAACTGTAACCTTACCACAATCCCACGAGCCTAGCTACGATGTAACGACTGTCATTACTGCAACCTTACACAATCCACGAGCCTAGCTACGATGTAACGGCTGTCGTTACTGTAACCTTACACAATCCACGAGCCTAGTCAACGAATGTACGGCTTCATTACTGTACCTTACACAGATTCCACGAGCCTAGCTACCGACCAGTAACGACTGTCATTACTGTACCTTACACAATCACGAGCCTAGCTACGAGGAGGTGAGACGGCTCGTCGATTAGCTGTAACGGCGTTACAGCAATGTAACGAGCCTAGCAATATGTAGGGTGTCATTGAATCGTAACCTACACAATCACGAGCCTAGTACGATGCTGGTTATGTAACGGACTGTCGCTACTGTAACTTACACAATCCACAAGCTACTTACGATGTAACTGGGCTGGTCGTTACTGTAACTTACACAATGCCACGAGCTAGTACGAGGTTGTAACGGCTTCGTTACTGTAACCTTACACATTCTACAGTCCTAGCAATGACTTAACGGTGATCATTACTGCAACCTTACACTAATGCCACGAAGCCTAGGCTACGCATGTAACGACTGTCGTAACTGCACCTAACCTTTACACAATCCACGAGCCTAGCTACGATTGTAACGATCGGTCGTTACTGTAACCTTACACAATCCACGAGCCTAGCTACGATGTAACGACTGTCATTACTGCAACCTTACACAATCCACGAGCCTAGCTACGATGTAACGGCTGTCATTTTACTGTTAACCTTCACAATCCACGAGCCTTAGCTACACTTTGTAACGACTGTCGTTACTGAACCTTACACAATCACAGGAGCCTAGCTACGATGTCGTAACGGCTGTCGTTCTGCAACCTTACACAATCCACGAGCCTAGCTACGATGTAACGGCTGTCGTTACTGTAACCTTACACAATCCACGAGCCTAGCTACGATGTAACGACTGTCGTTACTGTAACCTTACACAATCCACGAGCCTAGCTACGATGTTTTTTTAAACGACTGTCTTACTGTAACCTTACACAATCCACTGAGCCTAGGCTACCGAAATGTGAACGACTGTCGCTTACTATAAACCTTACACAATTCCACGAGCCGTAGCTCGATGTAACGTATCTGTCTGTTACTATCAACCTTATCACAATCACGAGGCCTAGCTACGATTGTACGACGCGTTTACTGTAACCTTACACAATCCACGAGCCTAGCCTACGGAAGTAAGCGACTGTCGTATACTGTAACCTACAATCAAATCACGAGTCCTAGCTACGAATTCTGGTTGTAACGCTGTCGTTACTGTAACCATTACACAATCACGAGCCTACGCTTACGATGTACGACTGTCGGTTAGTGTAACTTACACAATCCAGAGCTAAGCTACGATGTAACGACTGTCGTTACTTGTTAAACCTTACACAATCCACGAGCCGGTGAGGTCGATTGAAGTGAGTGACTAGTCTGATAGGAGAGATATCTTCTAACACTGTCACCAGCATTTCTAATTTATATTGGCTTAACGGCAGCGATCAAACAATAAATATCTCTCTCGCGCGCGCTCCTGGTCTCTCCTCTCTCTCTTTCTCTCTCTCTCTCTCTCTCTCTCTCTCGCTGTCTCTGCTCCTCCCCCTCCCTCCTCCCCTCCCTCCCCCTTCTCTCTACCTGGACGTGGCTCTGTAGAAGTTCTGTATGAGCCAGTAGACAGCGAGCAGCGGCAGCGCGGTGAGGCAGAACCAGGGCACGATGATGGCGTTGACGGTGAGGGCGGCGACTGCCATCAGCACTGTGCGCATCAGGGTACTGCAGGTAGGTGGGCAGCCCGGCTGTCGATGACACCCAGGTCCGACGAGAAGCGATTCACGATGCGTCCGACGGGCGTCGTGTCGAAAAACCTGCAGCAGCGACGATGGACGATGCTAACGAGATGCTCGTTAAGTTACGTAGTGATTACGATGATTACTACTTGTCGTAATATATATTACGTGATAATGTACTTGGTATCATTATTTTTACGTCGTGTCGAAGAACCTGCGATGGAACGGAGCGCCAGGAACACCCTGGAGGGGGGATGAGGCGCGCATGCGAACGACAAGGGGGATGGAGGTCTTTGAACCACGATGAGAGTCAGGGAGCTACGCGCAGGGAAGCGGGGGTAGGCACAGAGGAGGCATGGCGGAGCAGCATGCCTTACTGCCTCGAGGCAGTGCACGATTCGGGAACAAAGTCTGTTGTGTAGGATCCTTGCGTCCGTTATTGGGGCTGTGGGGCGGGGAGCGCATAGTAGGGCTGTAGGGGGAGGCAAGGAGAGGCAGCAGCCAGCAGCCTCACTGACGGGCACGTGCTCTCTTGATTTAACAAGTGTGAAGCAGTCTGTTGTGTAGATTGCGCTCGCCCGTATGGGGGCGGGGAGCGCGGGGGAGGGTAGGGGGAGGCCACGGCAGGAGCAACCAGCCAGCCAGGGCCTGCAACCTTGACGAGGGCATGCCACAATCGTGTGAGCAGTCTGATTGTGTAAGTATTCCTCAGTATGAGGGGGCAAGGAGCACGGAGGGAGGGGAGATGGGGGAGGCACGGAGGAGGCAGCAGTAGCAGCCTTACCTGACGGGGCAGTGCACGATCGTGGTGAGCAGTCTGTTGTGTAGATTCCTACAGTATGGAGGGAGGGGCCAGCGACGCGGTGGGAGGGGGGGAGAGCACGGGGAAGGCGGCGAAGAGAAGGAAGCAGTGGAGGGGATGGGCGAGAGCACGGAGGAGCTGAGCTCAGCTAGGCCTTTACCTGACGGGCAGTGCGACGGATCTGGTGGAGCAGTCCGTTGATGTAGATCTCCTTTGCTCCTCCGCCTAGCCCCGCGTACTCAATCGCCACTGCCAGGGACAAGCAGTCGTGCCGTTGATTGAGGATGGTAGTGAACGACAGCAGCGTGTAGCCGCGCTGGTAGTAGTCCAGCCCGCTGCCGCCGCCGCCGCCAGGGGGCAGCGCACTGTCGCCGACCTGGAAAGAGAGGCGGCGACGCGTGAGGGATTGCTATGCCGAGCGATTGCTCGGGTTGTTACCGGTGGAGTGGCGCGCCTAGGAAAAATCTCCAAATACGATGTAAGAGGAAGGTTGAATGTACGCAAGAACACACGCACACGCGCATTCATGCACACATACGTACACACACACACACACACACACACACACGTACACACACACACGCACGCACGCATGCACGCACGCACACACACACACGCATGCACACATACGCATACCTGAGCCATGCCGATGCTGCTGATGTTGTCGTACGGCTGCTGCTGCTGCTGCTGTGCGGCCTCGCTCGCCCACGCCTTCACCCAGAAGTCGGTCGCGACCTTCGCCACCTCGCGTCCGACGTAGATGGCGACGATGGCGAGGGAGAGCGGGGCGCCGCACGCCGCTGCGTAGCGCCACCACACGCGCGCGGCGACGACGCCAGTCTCACGCTCCTCCCCGCGGCCCGCCGTCGCCGCGGCCCCGCCCGCCGCGCCGCAGTCAGCATCTACACACACACACGAGTGAGAGAGAAAGGGAAAGAAAACACTCATGGTGAGATGACGGTGGAGGGGGAGAGGGATGGTGTTAGAACGCAATGAGGTTAGCTCTGTTCAGCTCGCATTTACTGTAAGATTGATATTGGATTTAACAAATTGCCGAGGACTAAATATTAGCAGTACGAGCGCACCATAAAATTTAGGTGTAATATGCTGTAATTTTCAAAATTTAGTTGTGAATTATGAAATTTGGTGCCGCCTACCGCAATTTTGAATTCTGATGTTACATTCACTGCCTCACGGGATTCACTATAATGATCAAATTGATTCACCGAAACATTGCAATCTGGTGGGATATTTATAATTATAAAATTTAACACGATTCAGCGAAACATTGAAATTTGGTGAGATTCACTATAATGATCAAATTTAACATGATTCACTGAAACATTGCAATCTGGTGAGATTCACAATAATGATCAAATTTAACATGATTCACCGAAACATTGCATCGTTGACGGTGAAACTCCGTGCGATTCCGCACGACTAATCCGTCGCTCACAC